CCGAAGATAAATGAAAGTCTTACGGGTTTGGAAGGGTGAGTAAATGATTTTAATTCCGGGGTGAAAATTTTGTCACTCACCCTTATGTTGTTCTAAACCTGTATAAATTAATTTCTTCTGTTGAACACAAAAGAAGATATTTCAAAGAGTATTGGTAACCAGTTAGTTGACTGTCTCCATTGAATTCCATATTATCTTGTTTTCTTCTATGGAAATCAATGTGTGCCATCAACTGTATGCTTACCAACGTTCTTCAAAGTATCTTCTTTTTAGTTTCTTCAACATTCTTTTGACTTTCTTCTTCTCGTTTTGGAAGGGCATGAGAGTGAGTAAATGATGACAGAATTTACATTTTTGGATGTACATTTCTGCCCTTTTAAGATAACCAAAATGGCACATATAACAACGCAACTGTGATTGGTCATGTTTCATGTTGGTCAGACAGAACTTCCGATCTTGACCAGAATAAGCTGCAAATTGTACAATACTTAGCAGTCAACAGTCTTACTATGAAACTTCTCTGCTTATAACTTTTAGATGACAGTTTAGATGACCTTCCAAGTGTGAATAATTGATCATGTCTTCTGGAAGAAATCCAACTGTGGACACTCATGTGGCCAGATAAGCCACTTGCTTGTGGTAATGCTAACAGCTGCTGTGGGATTTCAGACAGCAGAACAGCTATTATGAGCGTCTTCAACCTGATTCTCCCTGAGCGATGCCTCCGTGGAGGAGTGCAGGGATAATTAGGCTCATCTCATTTGGCATGAACTAAAAGGAGTTGTGTCTCGTGGCAACAATAAAGACTAACTATCATTAACATCAATGCGTGTGAAGCTTTGGTTGCTAATTCTGACTTTCTTTTTATATTTTCCAGTGGTAGGCATTGTCAAGTCATAATGACAACATGTAGTTAAATTTAGTGCTATTTGCATGGAATCATAACCAGAGGTTGCATTAAATTGCACCTCATTTAAATAATAAGCAAAATAAGTAAATAACTGGTCATGACATATTAAAGCAGCACTCTGTAGTTTTTCCAAAACCCTTGAGATGGTACAGTACATCGACTTGTATCACTTTTACTGGCACTCTGTAACTTTGGGGAGTGGGTAGGAACCTGAGCACAAAAAAGAACTACAAAGTGAAGAACTACAAACTGCTTACGGCATACAACACTTCCCCCACTTCCTCAAATTCCGACGCGAGATCCCAATGAGCGTTTTTTTTTTTTTTTTTTACCTCTGTATGTTGTCATGGCTGAAGCAGCAAGTAAAACCAAATGTGAAGTGCGTCAGAAACAGAGCGCGTGGGCAAACAGTTTACTGTTGGTAATGTGTTGTGTAGCTTCGCACCTCACCGCATCCAGTGTAGACTGCATTGCTTTCTTTTGAGGGCACTTAAGACACTCAAGCATCCCTGTAGAGCCGGGGCGGGCAGCTCGCGCCAGCTGGAGACGTGAAAGTATACTGATGAGTTTGGTAGGGGCTACATTCTTGCTAGTAAATAATTATGTTTACTTTATGTAAACATAATTTATATAATTAAGGACCCACCTTCCTGGGGCCATTATGTAAAACAGTAGCCAATAGGCTAAGGTTACTATAAAGATGCTGGCTTGTAAATGTTAGCTGCGTCATCTTTTGACGTTTGAAAAAAATAAAGCTCATGAAACTATATTCATAAGACATGCTGAAATATATTCCAATGTACCTGGGATGAAGACATTTCACATGCAACACTGGAGTCTGCCCAAGATGTGAGAACTCCTTCCTTCTGTAGAGTTCGGGGGAATCGCTTCTCAACAAATGAACGTGTGTATTCCCTTGTGTAACCATGACAGATTTTACGACAGGAGTTGAAGACAATACTGTTTCCCAACTGCAGGGGGACCCCAAGAGCAAAATTTCAAAAGTAACATAATGGTGCTTTAATTTAAAATATTTTATTACCTCAAGATACCAACTTGAGTGGTAGATGGCACGATTGAAATATCAGAATCTAATATTGTAGGGAGCCATGTAAAATAAATAAATAAATAAAAAAATAAAAAAAAAATAAAATGGATCCATGGTTTTGGACTAAGCATGGACAAGTTTGTGAAAGGAGAACGCAAAGCAAAAGGAGAATCTATGTCACAATTATATTTGTGGGGACCAAACTAGTTGATTACCCACATTCTTCAAAATATCTTATTTTGTGTTAGAAGGAAGAAATTCGTACACATTTAGAACAACTTGAGAGTAAGTGCATGATGACTTAATTTAATTTTTTGGGTCCCTTTAACTGTCCCTTTAAGTATAGTGCTGCATTAAAATAATCAAATACACTAATTATATATTTCAAATTAAAATAATTAAATACCGTAATTGCAGAGCTGAATGTTCTTCAGGTTTCACACGTGGATTTACATGGCTTTTGCAGTATTTACTGATAACAGGATAAGGTTTTGCTCGCAAATAGCAATTTTATACCTGATACAATATTTGTGATAACTACATGTAGGCATAACTTTACATTTATGCCTATTAACTCATTAACAAAAACTACTAGTCTAAATGATAAAGTTCAAACTTTATTAAAGGCAAGTAAAAAAAAAGAACAAATACATTAATTTCAAGCATAGATAATACATTATAACAACGTTGCAAATAAAGTTAAGCTCTAGTATTCAACCAAAATGTAATAATTAGGCCTCAATGTAAAATATCTCTATAGTATTGTAGATAAAACTTTGTTAGAGCTGTTTTGTTGTTTAATTTACACTAATGTCCGACAGATCATGTTAAGATTGAGATGATGAAATGTCAGATTATTAAACAACAGTCAATTGCTTTCTGGGTGAAACAATGTAAAAATTAAAAAAGAGTGTAATAAGATTTTTTTTTTTAATATCAAGTGATTTTTCCATCATCTAATTTGTACACTATTTTCTGTGAATACACACAAGACTGTACTGTATGTATTTTGTCCATGAAGTCATAATTTACACCTGTAAAGGACCTTTCTGTTTCAGCACTGGCCCTACAGAGTAGGCTAACTTTACTATGGTAGCAGTAGAGCATTAACAATAGACTTATTTTTGGCATCAAAGCTTGCAGCAATTATACTAATGAGACCGCGACTGTGAGGCCAATTAAGTTTTGCTGAAAATAAAGCTGTGAGCCTTGTCTCACATCTTGATCTGTTAAAATATGGATTTGTTTATAAGGGGGAAACAAGGTCTCGAAAGAAAGAAAGAAAGAAAGAAAGAAAGAAAGAAAGAAAGAAAGAAAGAAAGAAAGAAAGAAAGAAAGAAAGAAAGAAAGAAAGAAAGAAAGCTTCATGAACAGCAGTAAAACCTTTTTTGTTTTTAAAAGTTTGAAAATTAAATTTCTGAAACATATTTGCCTCCAGCCACTATAGATAGACTGAGTTCTGGAATATGTCTGTCCAACTATATTTTCAATTAGAGAATCAGGAGGAAGAGGACTCAGCAAAATCATTAGAGCTGAATTTGCGTCTTGGTTAACACAGTCTCATCCCCAAAAGTCATATAACTGACGTCTTGGGACGTCTTTTGACCATACGTCAATATCCGCCTTTTTAGGGCCCCCTTAAACGTCGGTAGATGGCGATCCCGGGCCGTCATACAACTGACGCTTTACCTTTAACGTCAGTTAGGTGACAGGTTAGGTTTAGGGTTAGGTTTAGGTCTGGGGTAGAGTTAGGATCCCATAACCTCATCTACCGACGTTTAAGGGGGCCCTAAAAAGGCGAATATTGACGTATGGTCAAAAGACGTCCCAAAACGTCAGTTATATGACGTCTTGGGATGAGACCGGATTGTCTTGGTTTCATCAGGTTTCATTGTCTCTCTTGGCTCTCTAAATGGATGATGTTTCCAGAGCTGGTGAAGATGGTTTTTACACAAAGTCCTAAAACAACTCATTGAGTGTTTTTTTTTTGTCTTTTTTTTTATTGATGCTCTGTCTTCTTTCTGGCCCCAATTTTATAAACATGCTTACATGTACCTTCATTTTTTTTTTTTTAAATATCATTGCCTTAGAGACCCTTGTCTGTTTTTCATTTTGATAGACTGAGACTCTTGATGAAGGTCCAGGCTCTGTCATTTTATACTGTAGGTTTTCTGTGTGTCTTGGAAGAGATATGACTCATAAATCATTAAATTAATTGACACAATGCCGTACTGTCCGGACCCTCTCAATTTTAAGTGTCGAATCTGCCATTCTTATCCACATGTAAAATGATTTAAATGTGCAAGGAAAAATGTACATGGAAAACGTCAGTGTTGTAGTCGAGACCACCTCACTCGAGTCCGAGTCTAGACCGAGACCAGAGAGAGTCGAGTCCGAGTCAAGACCGAGTCCATAGAGAGTCGAGTCCGAGTCGAGTCCGAGACCAGAGACGGTCGAGTCCAAGTCGAGACCGAGACCAGTGAGGGTTGATTACCTAATTTACTTTTATTTACTTAGAGAAATCCTTTTTTTTTTTTTTTTACTGAATTTACTTAGAGTTTAAAAAATATGATCAGTTTAGGGTAAAAAGGCCACATAGTAGGTGGTGTTAAAAGCAATTTTATTACAATTTGTCATGCGCAGTTTCGCACTAGAAAATCACCAATCACTGGGCGTGTCAATCAATTTAAAGAAATATTTTATTAACATACATTAATAATCATGAAAAATATTTTGAATTGAACACGAGTGGACTCGGGAATAAGTCCGAGTCCTAAAAAAAAAAATGTTCGAGTACGAGTCAATTCCGAGTCCAAATGCACACGAGTCCATGACAAGACCAAGACCATTAAAATATGGCCTCGAGACCGAGTCCGAGACGAGTCCGAGTCTCGAGTACTACAACACTGGAAAACGTATAAAACGATACACACAAGGCTCTAGTCATATCAATGGCATAGTGACTGCACCATTTGTCAGTTTCAGACGCATGCTTAAGAGTGTCGCCTTTGAGACAACTGTCTATTTTGTGTCTGTTTGTAGTTCCACAACCTCCAGGAGCTGCGTCACAGTGCGTCTCTGGCCACCAAGGTCTTCATTCAGAGAGACTACAGTGAAAGCACCATTTGCAAATTCCAGACCAAGTTTCCCGCAGAGCTGGACAGCAGGGTAAGTTTTAAATGAGGGTTTGGGGCGACATCTGATGTGTTACTGCCCTTTATGTAGGCGCACATCCCATGAGGCATTGCTTTTTTTTTTTTTTGATTGCATCGCTCTTAAAGGGATCATACAACGACAAATCAAACAGTCCTTGATCTTTTGAAATGAAAAAAGTCAATGTAAACATATTGTAATTTATCATACTCAAAATGCCTTCAGCCTTGTTCACACAACATGATTTTAAAACGTCGGGATAAACTGTGCGGTTCACACTACATGACTTGCTCTCAGTGAAATCAGGAGTGTTCAAGTTGTTTAGCTGTTCACACCACACAACACAACGTGATTGATCAATAACAGGAGGTAACGCACTACACGCACTACATAGAGATACAACCACGATCGGATGATAAGAGCAAATCATTTGCGACTCAGAGCTGTTTCAGTACTATGGTAGGCTACGGTCTAAATTCTGAAAGAGAGAGAGATTGTTTTATTTTAGGCGTATTGAACATTTCTACAACTAAATAAATACTATACTAGTAGTTATGTAGATATAATTTTTTTAGCAAAACTATGGTAAATTTGTGGTTATCATGGTTTAACTACAGTACAATTTCCATGTTTTATTTTTTATTTATAGTAAACCATTGTAAATTTTCGAGCCCGATCTCATGAAAGTTTGTATCTATAGCACGAATGTCATTTCTCGTGCCATTTCAGCCCATTCTTATCCACATGGAACACTATATGAAAAAATGGCGCTATACTACGCGGCACCCTTTATCGTTAATAAAACACGCAAACCCAAGGCATCATAAATCCTTTAGCGTAATATGAGACTACCGTACCCTACCCACACCTAAACATCACAGCGTGTGTTATATTAAAGGTTCTCAAAGCGATCCTGGGTGTTGACGTTCGAATATTTTCAAACAAATCGGAGCTAGACCCTCCCTCCTCCGCATCTCATCTCCTCCCCCTCCCTTCCGTGCTTCCTGAAATAATTGTGAACGTGCATAGTTCTAGCTAATTATATCCTTGTGTGGGTTTGGCGAACATAAGCGTCAATTTAGAAGAAAAAAAAACAATTTAACGTTACCCACCTGTCAAGCAAAAACAGAGCAACCTGAATGTCGGACTGGAAGCCCTTCTGCCGCCGGAGTTCTCGCCATCGTTTAAAAGCTTTGCTACTGATGTAAATTCGGAACTTCGCACATTCTTTATCCGACTCCTTCTTCTTTTTAATTTGTTCCTCAGAACGACGTCTCTTTGGTCGTGTGTCGGTAATTTTTCAAACTTCCCTCTGATGCTTCGCTGCTCTCCTTCACACACACACACCCTTCATGTGCACGCGCACTAACCCCCCAGACCCACCCTCAAATACTTCTTGCCAGTGATTGGCTGGAACACTGTTTGTAGGTTTCGTGGACCGGGTAAGACATGATTGTTTTTGTTGCCGTTTGTGGAGCCTGTGGTGTCTACAGAGACCACGTTTTTTTACAGTGTGTTTAGGGGACAGGCGGCTAGCCGATAGTGAGAAGACGTTTGATGTATGTGACAAAAAATGTTTTGGCCCAGCATCGCTTAGAGAACCTTTAACGATAACGGGTGCCATGTGCGTAGTATAGCGCTGTTTTGTCATATAGCGTTCTATATTATGTAAAGGATGAGAATGCGTTGGCCATTTATACGCCAAAAACAGTTTTTGCGTGTATATGGTATGCGTTTTTCGCGTGCATATGATACGCACTTTATGGCGTATATTACTTAAACTCCCCACCCCTCTCTCCCCTAAACCTACCCCAGGGTTTTTTAGTGCGTAGCATATGCATGCAAAAAACATTTTTGGCGTATAAATGCCACGAGAAATGACATTCGTTGTATAGATATGCATTTTCATGAGACTTTGTTGAAATTTTCGTAAAGGGAGAGAGACAGGGCCAGCGTGTGCATTACCTAAATTCACTAAATTCCCGCCATCTCCATGACTTCACCCAAACCCTTTTGTTTGTTTTTTGTTTTGTTTTTTCTTCTGTGAAAATCATTCGCAATTTTTTCCTGCATATCCTTTGCCATGCTTATTCTGAAGTCTCGCGAGATTTCGAGAGATTTCCTGTGTTCACAGTTGAGACTCTGGCTGAAAATCTGTTAGTGTGTGGTGTGCTGTCTTTGTCACATCATGGCACACCACACACTATAGGAGCAAAACGGTTAAATCTAGGATTTTTTTCTCCTCATATGTGTGGTCTATGACATTTTGAAAATCTTAGAAGATGTAAAAAAATATGTTGTGTGTACCCAGCATATAAGCTGTAAAAACTTTGGGAAATTTCTGACGTCATAGAGATGGATATACTGTATTGATGCAAGTCGATCCATGTTTACACATCAAAAACACTTCAGCAACTTGCCCAATTTTATACTACTATTCAAAAGTTTGGGGTCAATAAGATTTTTTTTTTACTAATTTTTTATTCAGCAAGGATCCATTACGTTGATTAAAAGTGAAAGTAAATACTTTGTATACTACATACAAAATGTTCTATTCAAATAATTCTGAATTGTTTTTCTTAAAAAAATAAATAAAAAAAAAACATATTTTCCACAAATAAATATTACCGTAAGCAGACCAATTGTTTTGAACATTGACATATAATGAGAAATGTTTTTTTTTTTTTTTTTTTTTTTGAGGACCAAATCAGCATATTCTAATGACTTCTAAAGGATCATATATAATGATGCTGAAAATTCAGCTTTTCCATCATAAGCCCCTTTCACACAGCACGTTGCAAACATCATTGGTTTGAACTCAACTGACTGTTGTGCACAGATCGAGAGGAGCCTGTTTGAAGTAACGTTGAAGACGCTCAACTGCTACTATGCAGAGGCTGAAAAGATTGGCGGTCAGTCATACCTGGAAGGTTGCCTGGCTTGTGCTACGGCCTACATCATCTTCCTGTGCATGGAGACACGCTATGAAAAGGTATCGAGATAATCTTCTCTTGTTTCATTTACAATACACTCAACATTTATCAAGATGCCAATTCTGAGATGTAAGATTGAGAACAACTGAAACCCATGGACGCCTTTGAAGATCAAAGAAGAGCATTCAGGCCTGGTCACCCAACGATTCACAAAGAAACAAAACATTAGAAAGTTTGAACATTTTTGATGTGCCGGCCCATTTAAATCTGACCACACACGTTCGCATGTCGCAGATGGAAATCACTTTCTTTGAATAGCAGTCAAACGAAGTCGAGATAAGGTTTGATATGCGTGCTTATGCCCTAATTAGACAATAGTTCCATTGTGTCGAGCACCTGTCCACCACTGGGAAAACCTGACCGAATCATAACATGACATTCAGTGCTGCGTACTTCCAAAGGGCAGCTAATTTCTCCTCACAGGTGTGCATCACCTGCACTGAGATCGAGCGGATGTGAAGTCCCTGCTATCTCTCTCTTTCTCTCATTATGAGAGTTTCATACTATATTCATCTTCATGCTTTAAAATGTTTGAAAACTGACATAGTTCATGCCTAACCCGCATTATGCAACTCTGAGGTCACATCAGGCTTTTTCAAAGAGTTATAACTCCAGCCTATAAAAATGCCCACCTTAATGGTGAACTCTGATAAACTGCACCCACCCATGATGAGCAGTTTTGTTTGTTGCTCCAGCTGACAGGAGGCCACACATGAGTGGACACGGATGAGTTCCCTCATGCCCCGGGCTAGCATGATAGCATCTTCCTCATCAAAGACGAGTGATTGCACACACAAGTCAGGGCAGCGGAGAGAAAGATTTAGAGCGTGCTGCACTGTCACACATCTAGGTTCGAGACACTAAATAACTGAATGACCTTTTATTCTGTACAGAAGCAGTAGTTTTCAACCTGTGGTACACTAGTTGGAGATTTGACATTTGATTTGACATTCAGTTTTACTGTAAAGTCAACTTAAAACATTAATAAAGTTTAATAATGTGTATGTAGACACTACCGGTCAAATGTTTGTGATAATTACTTTTTTATCATGCTTTTGAAAATATAGCATCATATGCTCAACAAAACACTAGTGTTGTGAAAATTAAAATAATATGTTTTAAAATGTAATTTATTCATGTGATTTTAAGATTTAAAAAACAAAAAGATAAATGAATAATTTTATTTAAAAAGGATGCATTAAATTAATCAAGTGACAGTAAATATACAAAATATTTGTAATTAAAATATGCTTTTTTAACTTTCTATTTATCAAAGAATCATGAATATATATATATATATATATATATATATATATATATATATATGAAGAGTTCAGATGCAAAAGCCTCTAAGTGCCATTTGAAATTTTCTTCTAAAATGATCGTTTTTATCAATCTTGTATATTTAAGTTCAGTAATTTAACTTAAATGGCAATGAAGATTACCTATTAATTGTCATTTAAGTGAAATTACTGAACTTAAATATACAAGCTTGATAAAAATGGTAATTTTAGAAGAAAATTTCAAATGGCATTTAGAGGCTTTTGCATCTGAACTCTTCATATATATATATATATATATATAATATATATACTGTATATCATGGGCGTCGGAACCATTGTATATGGGTGGGACAAGACCCACCCACTTTTTAACACCAATGATATTGGACCCACTCACTTCTACCGTCTCTAATTCAGCGCATTTGTCTGTTCACTTTTCAGAGCGCCGTCAGTCAAATCCATTCCACTTGAGCAATTATGGAATTAATTTTGAGCCAATAAAAATGAACGTGACTTTTCAAGAAACTAATGAAAATATAAATTGAAACTGAATAAAATATCTTTGAAACTGAAAAAGAATGAACCGCAAGCAATTTTTTTGACTTTGTTTTTAATACACTACATGTTTTGCTAACTATTCCTCATATTTCGTTTACTGATCTACACTTACAAATGCGCTTCCAGTTTTCATTTACGCTTCTGAAGTTTTCGTTTACGCTTCTGATGTTTTCGTTTACACTCCCTTGCTGCGTCCCAATTCGCTCACTTATACTACGCCCTAAAAGTATGTACTCTTTTTGTGAGGAAAAAGTACATACTTTTGAGTGTGTAGCAAAAGAATAGGCAAGCTTTGGGACATACTATCACGTCATCTTTAACTGACGGCTCTGTCGCGTGCTGCGTGGCGTGCATCCTGTCACCGTAAACTGCCCTGTCAATCATCTTGTCACAGTTAAAATCCTCCATTCTACTTTGTATATCTAATTTTATTTACTACCGTTTTGGAGAGCACATCCATCTGCCAGTTGTGGGTCTTTCATGCTCTCCTCCTGTTTGCAATTCGAATATAATGATGCATTTAATACGTAATGGCTAAACGTGTCTTTACAAAAGTTCACAATGCTGCTGCAAATGCAATATAATGTGGACAACATTTAATAAATTCATTTTCGTCAGGTTAGATACTGATAATGAATCACTCAAAGCTCTTTATCTAAACCTCTCTACACAACCGCGGGGACTCGCGCGTCCTCCGTATCGACTACGTGTCTGTAGTTTGTTTTAACACTTTTTACTCGTGTTTGTAGTTCTAACCGAATCCTCGTCCAACGCGCAATGGTTTGTGGGCAATATCAGCCGTTAGAGTGTGCATCGATCTACACTTCGGATTCTGACCGGAAAAAGTAGACCATCCGGGTATCTTTGAAACACTCATTTCAACATACTACGATTTGGGACGCACTAATTCTATTTTCGAATACTATTTAGGACGGATATTATGCGAATTGGGACGCAGGGCCTGAGTTTGCGTTCGCTGTTCTGACACAAATCTCTCGTGGGGGCGGGGGTAGTAGCAGTGTATTCTCATTGGCTACTGAGTTTTTGATTGACAGCTTCTTGACCTGGAAGTGAAGACGTCAGTGAGTGTTGTGTTTACACGTGTCAGACTGACGAGCCCTGCAACTTTGCTGGCTGCGCATCGTCTCAGTTTATTATGACTTTCAACTGTGGTTACAAAGCATTAAATGGCAACGAACACAGCTCAGCCAATAATAGACAATAACTGGAAGTGTCCGTTCTTATAGAATGTGTTTTGAAACTGACACTAATTGTTGAAGAAAGTTTTTTTTAATTGATAAATAACCTTAAGAACTCAGTCTCTGGTGTATTTTTTGCTTCATAATGCATATTTTTTTCATGATAGCCAGACAGTAGGCTATCAAAAAAATTATTGAATTATTAAAATTATTAAATTAAATTATTAAACAAGATATTTAATGAATAGCCTACCTGGAATAACAAATGATAAAATACATATATTTTAAAGATTCAGCAAATAAAACACTCAGCCATCAATGAAATAACATAGGAAATGAATACAGGTCTTTTTTAGACACATGTTGCGCATTAGAAGGGGTATCCATAGCTTGCGCATCAAAGGGTTAATTTGCTTGTTACACAATGGAGTCCAACTTATTGTAATAATTATTTGACTTAGACTACCTTTAAACATATAATTATTCCTTGGCATCCTTGCATACTAAACTACTTTTTTTTTTTTATTGTTTGCCTGCTGGAGGTAGGCTACGCAATTATGTCGTGTGTAGAGTGATGTTAACATTTAAGCTGGTGAGAGAAAATGGCACTATCAAAGAGTCTAAATGGACAGCGAAAATAGCCATACAAAGATGTCAAAGACAAATATGCGTTAATCCTATACCTAGTTTTGTAAATGCAAAGACAGACACTAACTAAAAGAGGTTCAAAATTTTCTCTGTTTAATTTGCACCCTGAATATGGGTTGGAGTTCTTAATTTTGAACTCTCAAAGTGCACCAGACTGCTGAATTTAACATTACAGAACACAAAATTTTCTTATGGGGGAGCATGCCCCCGAACCCCCCTAGAGAAATAGACAGGCGCGTCGTTAGCGTTGGGCTTTAATCAAGAAGACTTGAGTTCAATTCCCATACTTGCATTAATTTGTTGTGATTATATCAAACAGAAGTGGCCTAAACAATATTTCTTCAACCCGGTGTCGTGACAAGACGTGAAATAATCACTTTGGTGCACTTTTGAAAACGCGTAGATGTCACGGTTTAAACCCCCTCAAACGTGAAACTTAAACTGAAACTTACCTATTGGTTTTCATTAAACTGAGAAAAATGGAATTTTGTTTTATTGACGATCACTGAGAAATGGTCTAATATTTAAAATGCTAAAAACATTTATTATTTTCAAGGTGAACAGGATTCATTTGCCTCGATCCACGCTGAAAGACAACGTCTAAATGTCACATTTTTAATGAAGCAGTCTAAATAGTCAACTTTGGAAAATGTGTAGATGTGACGGTTTAACCCCCTCAAACGTGAAACTTACACGTTTGCGTTAACACGCTCCATTGGAGAGATATCCAGATCTGCCATAACGACCTATTGGTTTTCATTAAACCGAGAAAATGGAATTTTGTTTTATTGACGATCACTGAGAAATGTTCTATTATTTAAAATGCAAAAAAAAAAAAAAAAAAACTTGTATTATTTTCAAGGTGAAAATGATTCTCTTTGCATGGATCCACGCCGAAGAAAACGTCTAAATGTCACGTTTTTAATGAAGCAGCCTAATGAGTAGAATTTTTCCGGCGTCCCCCAGCTCCTCGTTTAAGCAAAAGGTACGCTAAAACAACGTATTACATGGACGTTAAACCACGTTAACCGTGTTAACCATAACCTTTTAAATACTCGACCTAGTTCCATTGCTTAGCAAGGGAAGAAACTCATGTGCCCAACCCTATCACGACAAGACGTGAAATAATCACGTTGGTCCACTTTGGAAAACGTGTAGATGTCACGGTTTAGTTTAAACTCAGAACCATAAATAGGGCTATACTGCCCTCTTGTGTCAAATTATATTTCTATATTTATTTTTCCAACAAATAAAACCAAACCTGCAATAATAAAACCCCGTCCAATACACCCTTGAACTCGACAGATGCAG